CCAAAATTGTGATATTGCAAGCAAAACTAAGACACTTCCAAGATTTTTCTGTGAAAACCTAGATTTACAACATTTGCATTCAATTTCTTTACACCAAAAATTTCATACCTCTTCTCTAGGACAACGGAAGCTGAATTATATGAAGGAAATTTGGTAGAGATGACCAGGACATAACCTAATTAGCCCAATGTTAGGGGGCTGCACTGGCAGACTGTGTCTTTTGGGGTTCCTGGTCTACCTAGAATCTAAACTAGGCGTAATTAAAGTAGATACTAAGATTCCAAAAGAGGTTCTTAACAAAGAACAACCCAATTTTATATATATGACTGTCTTGCTAACAATTGTTTCAATTAGCATATCAGTGTCAGTCCCAGTGTCAAATTTATAAACGATCTAGCATTCTAATGGCTAATGTGCTTCCGGTTTGACTAAACACAACAACCCCAAAGTGTTTCCATACACTTTAAAAACCTAAAATTATTTTAATACACTCTCCCTGAAAATTAAGTTTTACAGAAAATATATATTGAGATACAAAATATAATTTTTACAAGAATTTTTATAGTTTCTTTATCCAGTCTCACTGAATAATAGATTATTTGAATTTAAAACCTAGTACTAGACAACACTTTTAAACCACCTTAACTCATTTGACTGGTAAAGAAACAATTTCAGAAAAGACTACTGAATGAAGAATGCAGTAACACTGTTTAACAAATGAATCTGCTACAAGACAGGAAATTGTCCAACAAACTTCAAGGTTCTATCATTTCTAAGGGCTAAACTGTCTGTACAAAAGCAGCTCTCCCAGATCTGGCTGCCACCTCCTGTCCAGTGCCAATCATAACAGGCATTCAGAAATAGCTGCATAATTAACCAAATGTAAGCAATAATCCTATTTCATGAACTTAACTTAGACCTAGGCTTTACCTAGGAAAAATACGCTTTTTGCTCCTTAAACAATGATTAGGCATTTTATTCCTTGTGGATGTTTGATTTTTTCTCCATTTGACACATCACCTTGTTACAAGCGAATCACTCAACTTACTTAAAAATTAAAAGATAATAACATTAGTAGCAGCAGTAGTGGAAATAGAGTTTGAAGCTGACAGTAGTAAGGCCAACATTACTTATACAACACGGTAAGTCCCTGACACTGTCCCAAGTGCTGCTCATATACTAATACATTCAATCATCAGTTATTCAAGAAGAAACTGTAATATTATTCTCATTTTACAAAAAAAGGAAAGAGGATAGATACAAAGAGACAAAAGATTTTATATTCATGGCTAGTAAGTTGCAGAGCAAGAACTTAAACCTATACAGCTTGATTTCAGAGTAATAAAATTATTCACTTTATGGATGTAATTAATTACATATGAAAACAAACATGTTGCATAATTTTAAAATTAAAAAAAACTCAAACATATTTACCTGTTTTTTCACTCTTTTTAAATGGCTCAAAATGACAATACAGTATGTTTCAATCACACATTTAAAAACACTGCAAATGCCTCAAATACACTTTCTTTATCCCATCATCTGCTCCACAAAGCACCCTCTGTTTCTCTGTCCCTGTCTCTGTCTCTGTCTGTCTGTCTGTCTCTCATTCTGTCTCTCTCAGCCCCCTTAGAAGTGAAAAGTGAAACCACTACATCCACACAGAGTTGGTACAGGACTAAGAACTAAGACTCCTACATACACACATGACTACGCTTCATGCCCAGGAATTCAGGCCCAGAAAGATAAGGATGCAAATTCATAAGTAACTTCATTGTTTGCTTCAGAAACTTCCCTCCAAACCCTTTTACCCCAACAACACACTTTCACAACAGTCCCTTTCACAATATCCTTCAACTGAGCAAACAACTCACTTAGCAGACAACTGCGCATTCAGAAGTCATAGTGAAGACCCATGGGTCTTTCCACTACATACAGTATCAATCAAATCACCTCTCTCAATGAGTCACATTAAGACTCTCAAAGGTAGACCCCAAACTCTACCGTATTTACCCATGACCTCTCCCTTGTAGAGCATAGATGTCAACAAGGTTGTGCTTTTCCTTATTGTAGTAACAAATACTAGCTTTGCTTCATCCACAATCTCCCCTGGCCTTTTGGAGGGGCAAGTTAGCGGTCAACAGATGCTATTTAAGTAGCTCTGACAGCAACTTTCCTTTATCCTTTCTCAAAAATTTCTTCTTTCTGACAGCAACTTTCCCTTATCCTTTCTCAAAAATGTCTTCTTTCTGACCACAGGTAAAATTAAGTACACCAGAAGACGGGGTCATTAAAGAAAACAGCAATGCAGAGGAACCAAGGCAATCACAATAAATTCAATATGAGACTTCAAACTCTACTTCGTTTTAGCCGCGGCTTAATCTAAACTGAGTTAATTACATTAATTCACAATGTGTCTTAGTATCCCTGAAATCCAGGTTTAGAAAGAAAAGGAAAACAACAGAAAAGCAAAGCCTTAAAATGTCAAAGTTGATTCTGCCACCTGAAAAGATTCTATTAAAACTGCTCTGCCTTAATTAATGTATATCCCTAACATACCTCAGCGGTACAGCACTAGCATATCACGTGCAAGGCCCTGTACTTAACCTCTAGCACCATCAAAAAAAGTTTAAAAAGGAATGTAGTTAACCTTCCAAGTAAAGCTCTAACTGAAAACATTTTGCTGTTGAGGTAGTAGGGATTAAACCCAGGGCCTTTATACTGAGATACATCCCCGGTATCTCCTTTTCTTAAAATTTTGAGACAGGGTCTCATTAAATCACTAAATTTGTTTGAGTGCTGAGATTATAGGTGTGCCTGGCTTGCAAATGATTTTAACCTGTGTTAAATATAAAAATTATATATAATAGAATCACTCATTGCAACATCACCTTTTATTTACATATATTATCATTTTATTAGGTTTTACATTCACCTGTATAGTTATAAGGTCTACAGATATTATTTATCCTACTTCCACTTTATCTCAGCCTTTTTGTATCTAATCACATTTTTTAGAAAAGATTAAATTAGATAAAAACTAGTGAAACATACTAAGACACAAAGGTTTTTTAAAAGTTGAGAATTTCAAATAAGAACTCATAACATTTAAACATGTATGTGTTATATGTGTGTACATATATATGTATGTATGATCTATTTTTTAAAAACCTGGGATCTTAAATGATGATCATTTTGCTTATCTACTGAGGTATACATTGGGTGTGTGTACGTGTGTGAATGCAACATAAAAATCTCTAATTTTTTCACAAATCTTTAAACATTTTTATTGCTATCACTCCCTGTGGAAGTGTTATGTTTTAGGATTTGCTGCTTTTGGGACAATGCATCTAGAGGAAAGAACATTAGTGCTAAAAAAAAAAAAAAAAAAAAAAAAAAATCTACAGAGTCTGCATCCTGGGTTTTCTACACTAAACTAGAAGGCATAATCTCATAGAACTTCAGCTTGCTTACCTGGAAAAGAATGTTAAACCCACCTGCTTGACATTCTCACTTTGAAGATTAAGGGAGATAATATACATTTCCAACACAGCTGCTACCTAGCACATAATGGTAATTCTCCATAAATGTTTGTTACCCTGCATTCATCTAAGATCCCTACAATTATGGTCCTAAGGACCTATTAGATATTCAGCATTTCTTAAATAATTAAATAACTATTAATTATGCAACAAGATCTTTAAGGTTCATGTCTATTCAACCAATAATTTTACTTCTAGAAAACTAGCCAGAGGAAATGATTGGAGAGCTCATCAAATATTTATGTACACAGACATTCTTCAAAGCCTTATTTTCAATATCAAAAACTAGAAACAACCTAAGGATCCAAATAATATACACATCCATATGACCAATATTAAATATTAAATAAACTATTAAAATATGCACAAAGACTTAAGAGTGGGCAAAAATGCTCACAAAAACTAAAGCAATAGTGTATAGCATATAATGTTAACAATTACTTCTTAGATCATGCACCTACACAAACACACATTTGGAGGAAATGTATTGAAATATTAACAATGGTCAGGCATGGTGGCACATACCTATAACCCGGATACTTATAGAGGGCCAAAACAGGGAAATCCCAAATTCACAATCAGCCTGGACAACTCAGAGAAATTCTGCCTTAAAGTAAAATAAAACAAAATAAAAGGGGTTGGGCTGGGAATTTAGCTCAGAGCTGACTTCTTGCCCTGGATTCAATCCCAGTACCACAAAATAAAAACTAAAAAAATAAATAAATGAAAAAGGTAAATAAATAAATAACTGCCTCTAGATAAAACAGGTAATTTTTTGTTTTCTTTTTAATGTATTTTTATTTTCCAGTTTTCTACTCTCTCCATGAATTATCTTGAAGCTTAGAAAACATAAAATTTAAAACTACATCAAATTGTGTATTATTAGTATACTGTAACATTTAAATATGGTCTTTTTAATTATGCTCCATTTCACTTTTAAAAATTGGGGTAGCTGATAGAAATTCATACAATAGACTAACACAGATGAGGAAATTCGATTAAAGATAAAGCAAAACTTGTGCCCTCTTTGTCTTTCCCTGTGTATGCAAGTATGTGCATGTGTGTCACCATTAAAGAGCTTTTCTTCAACTTTCTCAGGCATGGTAGACACTGTTTTCAATAAAATATTAGGAGAATTATTTAGTGAGCTAATTAAAACACAGTCATATGACTGGAAGCCCAGAAGAAGATTAAAAATCAAGTACTCAAGTGAGCAGGTCCATGACAAGCAATCTATGGTACACCTCCTAAAAATGTAGATGCACTAAGAAAGATGGAGATTTAGAAAGATTTTCCATTATAATTTTCCCTTTATTCATGTGTCTTCAAAGAGAAATAAATTTAGTTGGAAAATGTATACTTTATTATGTAAAATGTATCAAGAAAAGAACCACTAACAGGATAAACTATTGTCCAAACAAAATGCACGAGGTGTGGTATACTCAGCACAGCACTCACCTTCACTGACGGCATGAGGCTTAACGATACAGCAGGTACAGTTGGTAAATTTGGCTGTGTTTGCTGGCCCACAACCTCCTCTTGAAGGAAAAAAGAATTCCATTTCCTAAAGACAGAGAGAAATCGCTTTGACACATAAGATCCCTTATCTTGAATTTACAAAATATGAAATAGAATTATGCAACTACCATTAAAGTTTCATAATATAAAGTCTCTGTTTTAGATATCCTAAATATGAGTTTTACAAAAACTGATTAACAAAGTTCTTATTTCCCACAATGAAAAGCTCATAAGAAACAGATTTAATTTTAACTGTTTTAAAATGTGGTACTGGGAGTTAAACACTGACCTACATCCCCAATCTTTTTCTGTTCTTTGTTTTGAAATAAGGTTTTGTTGTCACTAACCTGCCACACTGGGCTCAAATTTGTGGTTCTGCTGCAATAGTCTACCAAACTGCTTGATTACATGTGGAACTACTACACTTCGATCAATTACAATATATAAAATTAAATTAAAAACAAGGTAATCTTGCAAAACATGGTAACACACACTTGTAATCTCAGTAAAAGAGGGAAATTTGTATAGAAACAGATTAATGTTCAAAATTCAGAGAATTACAATTAGTTAAAACTAAGTTTACTATGACTCTAGCATAAGTCAAATAAAATGAACCATATTTATATTTTATATCCTGACTCCAACTGTGTTGCTTTGCATCTGACTCATTAAAATCACGGCCCAAAGATCTGAACTAATCACAAAGATGGGCACAAATAATCAGTTCTTTTAATTATTTAGATGCTTTCGTGCCTTAAGCATATACCATTATTATTTTCCCTATTCCCTTTCCAAACTATCTTCCCAAGCTCTGAAAGCCCCACAAGTGTTTAAAAAGTCTCTTCAAACAGCTCGTCCTCTCGGAGGCTTTTCCCGAGGCCTCCAGTCAGCACTCAGGCCTCCCTCCATACCGTGGTACTTCAAGTACTTGCTCTACCAATTACAGCTTTGAAGAAAGGAAATAACTTGCAAAACTTGAGGCTCCAAGGTTACTACAACAATGCTTGGTTCAAACTAAAGAATCACTGTTCATTAAATTTCAAATTGAAATGTTATAGGCTGTGTTAAGATGGCCCACTAGTGAATATTTATTTATGTTTTATTTTTGTGGTGTTTGGGATCAAACTCAGGGCCTTGCACATGTGAAGCAAGTGCTCCACCACTAGGTTACATCCTGAGCCCTGGATTATGTTTTTTTAAAAGATGGGAGAATAATTGTTTAAATACATGTATCCACACAGCACAAATGAGGAAAAAGGAGATTCAAGACAATGTGAATAACAACCCCTTGCATGTTAGCAGGTGGCAAAGTCAAGATTCAGATCCGGGAAATTACGAATCCAAAGCTCTAAACTTTTTCTGTCCTTTTTTTTCCAAGTAAAAAGCAATGCTATATTATTCTACCTCTAGAATATCAAATGTTTAACCAATTATTTGGTCAATTATTTCCATTTCTAATTAATTTATTTTATTGCCCAAACTTTTTTTCTTAATTTTTAAAAATGGAAATGCCACCTTTCCAAATACTCACATATGTTAAATATAATGTTTGCTTAAGGCAACATTTATAAAGGTTTTACTTAAATATATATTCTTAATAAAAGTGAATAATTCTGTTTTTGTTTTTATTTCTTTACTTTCTGTTCCCCACCCCCGTGCTACCTACTAATTGAAGCTAACATTTGCAAGATCATTTTCATTAGTTCTTTCTTATGGCAACTAATTTCAAGTTTTCATACAACGAATATAAAGCCATCAAAAAAATGTTTATGTGTCTTTGTGACTTGAGGTACTAAAGCACTCTGAATAAAGCTCTTCTCCTTGTAAAGAGCTCCTGCTATCACTCCTGGTCTTTTATATTTCCTTACATTGTCTAAGTGAAAATGAAAAATATTATATTCAGAACTTGAAAAAATTAAAAATTCAGATTCAATTTGTTAAGCCGTAAGTATATGGTTTTTTAAAACAAATTATAAAATACACAGTTGTAGCTAAGTTTTTACCTTGAAGAAACACAGAAATCTCACTACAGAATTTGACCAATCTAAACTAGTATCTTTTGTTATGATAATAAAAATATTGCTAAATGGTTTCCAATTAAATGTTTCTCAAAATTTTTTACTTATACAGAATAATTTTAAGTATTTTTGTGAATTTCCCTAATAAAAAGCAAAAATCATAAATAAATGTTTCTCTATACTGTCCTAATGCCGAATATTAAATCTGTTTTCAGAAAATAATCTAAAACATTAAAATGAAATATAAAATCACATAAAATGTGATGAAATGGCGGAGGATATAGCTCAGTAGCATAAGCGCCTACCTTGCAATTGTGTGGTCATGAGCTTGATCCCCAGTACCAAAAAAAAAAAAAAAAAAGATGCAATGTGAAATGAAAAAAAAGAACCAAATTTAATTAAAAAATTATAAAGTGATATTTACTATGTAAAGCATATACATTATCAAAAGAATGAGCTGGAAAGACTATGTCATAAATAGCTATCTCTTCAAACATTGCTGGCAGAATTACTAATGATAATATTTTACTATACTTGCCAAATTTTCTAAAGGTTGTTTTCCTTACTTTATGTTCTAAAACACTGTAACATTTAAAACAAAGTAGGTTATTGCTTTCAGCATATGCACTGGAGAGTGGCAGTTAAATCAGTCTTCTAGAGCCTGATTTGAAGTTCTCATATGAGCATCGTACTGAAATTTTCCAAGTCTCATTCCTGCAACAGTAAATTGAGGTACTATAGGAGACTACATAGGGTATTGTGAAAAATAAATAATATATAAAAGTGTTTATAACTTTGCCTGTGATGAAGTAAGCTTCAAATGGTAGGTCTGTTGATATTTTTGTATCACAAACTTGCCTGAATCTTTGATTTAGATTCTGGAGACATGAAGATGAATGAGACATCTTCAAGGAATTCATTTTACTAAATAAGAATATGGATAAGCAAACAAGGACTTCTTAAACATGGTGACATAGGTATGCAATAAATACTAACAAGAAAGGGCACCTCCAGTAAGGAAGGGTACCTCACTCAGTTTTCATCACAAAACAAGAAATTGGTAGCAGCTGAGATTGTTTCAATTAAGTTATTTATTTATTTAGTTTTCTGTATTTGCTGCACTAGAGAGTGAACCCAGGAGCTTTTTACACTGAGCTACATCCCCACAACCCCAGCCTCTGTTCCTTTTTCCTCAGCTTTCCTTTCTCTCCTCCCCTCCCTCCTCCTTTCCTTTCCATTCATTTTGAGATACGATTTTTCTTTTTGTTTTAAATTTTAAAGAGGTAAAACTAAACAGAACAAAGCCAATCAGAAGAAAACAATGTAAATGACACAGATTTCAAAGCAAGACAACAGGAGATCATCACTGGCTACCATAATGTCTCTTGTTTCCTTCTAAATAGTTGTCCATATCTCACACACAATGAATTCACAAAACAAAATATTAAACTGATCAGAACAGAGTGATGAAGGCATTATAGGTCTTTACGACCAGACAACAGGGAAATCAACAACGGCTGTCTCTGGTTCTCTTCAAAATAGTTGTCTGTACCTTCATGTATGTTGAAATTAAACAATACAAAGCAGACTAAATTGTAGCAGCACAATTTGTAATAGCCAGATCTTAGAAACAACTGGAAACAACTGAGGAATGGATAAGAAAAATGGATAAAAAAGATGTATTTTTATATAATGGGAGTACTACTCAGCTATAAAGTAACGATCACATTGAGATATTTACAAATAAATGGATGCAGCTTGAGACCATACTCCTAAGTGAAATAAGTCAAACTCACATGTGTAAATACTGTATAATCTCCCTAGTGTAAGAAATGATAAGAGTACATAAGCTACAAAACCTCAATAAATACAGTGAAAAGATAAGAACCTGCTTAAAGGGGAAAAATAATATCTCAGGGAAAAGGAAGAAAAAAGAGATAGGATTTTTCTACGTGACAGGTGGCTGATGCTGGGCTCAACTTGCTATATGCCTGCCTAGTCTCCCAGAATTATGCATTACAGGCATGCAACACTGCATCTGGCTGGTTCTTTAAATGTTTTCTTGTGCTGGGCATTTAGCTCAGCGGCATAAGACCCTAACTTGCAAGCAGGTGATCGTAAGTTCAATCCCTGATACCAATAAAAATAAATAAATAATAATAAAAAAAAACTTCTGTTGAGGTAATAATTGATATACATTAAAGTATACAATTTTGTAAGTTTCCATGTTTTTTTAAATTTTATTTTATAGAATCTGAAAATGATTTTATAAGTTCATGTAAATTGCACAGAATAGTGGATTACATTTTGGTGTACTGCAACTTGCATATAATATACATTGATTTTTTTTTTGGAGATGTTGAGGTACAATTGATATACATTAAAGTATATAATTTTGTAAGTTTTGCATGTTTACCAAATGAAAGCATAGCCACAATAAAGCTAACTAACATATCATCCTTCCTCCCACTGGGTAATTTCTTTCTTCTCTCTCTCCTGCCTTTCTTTTTCCCATAATCACTGATATTCCATTATTATAAATTACTTTCTACAATTTTACATAAATAGTATATTTTACAAATAGTATATACTCTTTCTTTAGCTGCCTTCACTTAGTCAAGTGATTTTAAGATCTATGTCTACAATGTATACGTGGCAATACTTCATTCTTTTTTATCACCAAATATTATTTCACGTCACGTGTCATGTTCCACGTATAAATATGCCTATTCACTTGCTGAACATCTGGGTTATTTCTAGTTGAGAACTATTACAAGTAAAGTTGTTATGAATACTCATGAGCAAGTCTTCTTTGTGTTGACACGTACTTTCATTTCTCCTGAGTACATACTCGGGAATGAAATGGTTGTATCATAGGGCAGAAGGATGTTTAACTTTTGAGGAAACTTCCGAGTTGTTTTCTAACATAGCTGCACCATTAATTCCCACCAGCAGTATATGACAGTTTTAGTTTCTCCGTATCCTTGCTTGTCTCTTGGTGTGAGTCAGTCCTGTTTTCAACTTCAGTCATAATGATAGGTGAGTAGTGGTATCTCAGTCATTTTAATTAGCATTTCCCTAATGGCAAATAAAGTTATGTATTTTTCATGTGCTTATTTACCATTCATTGATGAACTGTGCAAATTTTCTAAAGTAAGTGTGGAACTGATATAAAGAGAAACAAATGGATCAATAGATCAAAGCAGTAAATCCAGAATAGACCCATGTAGATACAATTAGCAAATGTGCAAAGCAATAAAATGCATAAGGATAGTCTTCTCAATAAATGGTACTAGAACAATCATATATTCATATACAAAAAATATATTTTAGTCACACCTCACCTTGCCTATAAAAATTAACTCAAAATGGACTGTAAGGTGAATGTGAAATCTAAAACATGAAAATTTCTAGAAGAAAGCAAATAGGAAATATCTATGATTTTGGATGAGCAACAGTTTCTTAAATGTGACACCAAAAGCATAATACATGAAAAATAAAATGGTAAGTTTGACTTCATCAAAAGAAAAATATTTCTTGTCCAAAGTCAGTGGTGAAGAGAATGAAAATGAAACCACATACACTATGAGAAAATATTTGTAAATCATATACATGAATGAAAAATTTATATCTATAATTATATAGACAATTCTTCACCTGCAGGGAGCTGCCAGATGTTTTTTAAGTTTCTTCTATGACCTGTAGTTCTTGCTCCTTCACATTCTGGTTCATTTTTCAGACACAGTACTTCTCCCCAATGCCTAGTTTTTGTTCTGAACTACAGAAAGCCCATATCTAATGATGCCTTTATTTTTTAATATCTACAATTTATAAACTAGTATTTCTATATGAATTCAATGGTTCAAACATTTATGAACCTTAGTCTTTTAAGTTTTATGAATAAAAAATGGAGTAACAAGTATTTTAATTATAGAAAACTAATCTTGATCAAGTGCAGCATACCAATTCATAAAAGTGACATGAAACACTATTTGATCCTAGGAAAAGGTCAAAGGTCAACTGCCTTACTTTGACAGAAAACATTTAACAAAATTAAAACAAAGTAAAACATTTTAAAAACACCTTACTCTGGCAGCAGAAGCAAAAGAATCCGGGCCATGAGCTGCGTTTCTTATGCCATCTGTTCCAAAGAGAGCTCTGATACTCCCGGGAGCATCTGTACGTGCCAGTCCAGAGTTTGCAGGGCCAAGCAGCCTTCTCCATTCACATATAGCATCATCTCTTAAAATCTCCATGGCAATAACAGGTCCACTTGTAATAAACTGGATCAACTCACTATAAAACAGATAAAAGACTGATTGGCTTCTTTTTTTCTGTCAATCTAGCCATTTCTCTTAACAACAAGGTTGCATTTAAATTTGAGCATTTTAACAGAAACATAAATACTATGATATCAGAACTACTGTGCATAAGCAAATTTTACACAAGCAAGATAAAATTTTCATGAATTGAGGGTTCTAAAGTGCTCCAATACATTATAAATTTCTATATTACTAATGTCAATCAATTATAAATCAATTACAGGGAAAAATCACTCTTATTGAATTAGGACTGCTTTACTGATTTAAAAGGTGTAGTTTTTTTTTTATTTTTTCCACTGCTCTGAAAAAACAAACAGAATATTTTCAAATGGTTTACCACTGCATTTAAGCAAGATTTCATAATACATAAAGTGACAAAAATGATCATTTTTTAGTAAAAACTTTTTTTTTTTTGATATCAGAAATGAAACGCAAGACCTTGAATTTGCCAGGCAGGTACTGTGCTGTTGAGTTAAATCACCAGCCCAAGAGCTTAATTCTTTTTATGTAGAACTATTAAAACTCAAAGAGTGACAAAGAACTCCCAATAATAAACACTTAGTTTAGTGATAAAAGTAATACTAATAATCCATCAAAAATATTCAATAATTAGTAGAAAAACTACTCTGGGCATTCTTATTAAGCTATTAAAGCATACACAGAGGCACTTGATTAAAAACCTAGCAATGAGTCATGGTTGACCAGGAAATAAAAATGACATTTCATTTTATTTTTCCACTTCTAAATGTATACAAGGTAGCAATGACAAATTTAATTGTGTAATAAGTGGACCTATCCTTGCTGTGTTAAAACCAAGTGCCTTCCAAAGTAAGCTCATATTTCTGTCTCACCCAAAGTAGAGAAGACAAAATGCTTCTGGAGAAAGGAACACAATATGCTGGGTCCTTTTGTGGCTATCAACTTATGACTGTTTTACGTATCTTCTTCCCTCATGATCATTTTCTATGAGCCAATGCTCTTTGATACTTCAATACTTCAATTCAATTTGAAAAATATTTACAAAAAATAGCATGTGTAAAGAAGCATTCTTACCCTCTACCCTAACAGGACCACAGACCTTCTCAGAAATACTCTGCTAGACCTTAGTTGCCCAAGTAACACCCCAGCAAACCAACCAGACAACTAGTTAGCTCATCCATTTAAAATAAGTCACTGCATATAAATTACATGTAAAACATTAAAGTAGGAGTTGTAACTCAATGCTATATATACATAGTAAAGAACCTATAACCAAAAATAATTTTCATCACTTCACTAAAAATTTATATATAAACATTCTAACAAGATATGGGGATATGCTATAATATTTGATTTACAATAATCTATAACATAGTAATCTTCTTAAAGATTTTTTTAGGCTGGGAGTTTAGCTCAGTGATGTAAGCACCTGCCTCACAAGTACAAGGTCCTGAGTTCAATCCCCAGTACAAAAAAAAAATTTTTTTTTAAACACCCTTCTGGGTACAATACCAACTAGTATATCTACTGTAGCAATTTGGCTAAAATAACAGTCTTATTTGAATGCAAACATCTCTTAATCTTTCAATAGTAATGAGTAAACACAATATTCCCTTCACTTAAATTACATTCCACATATTCAAAATAGAGATTTATTTTCTAACACATGATATTTGTCATATATCAAGGAAGAAAATATGTACCAGACTTTAAAAGAACAATAAATATTTAATAAAAATCACTATATTTTTAATGAATTATAATCTAAAAAGAAAGCCATTTTCTGGTAACTTAAATAATATATTTATTTCTTTTTTAACTTTGATTTTGATTAGTACACATTTGATGTACATTATTGTATCTCTTATGGGGAGTTGGTACATGTAATGATGAGACACAAGTTTTATCTGCTAAAAGGGCAACAAAACAATTCTTAGAAAACAATTCTAAATTGCAAGATGCTGTTTTGATCCTTTTGACAGATTATTCTCATGTAATAAATTGTTAGTTATAAAAATATACCTAGTTTTCTAGGAGACTCTATGCTAATGACTACCATCGCTTCCCAATTAAGTACCTACTTAAAAAAGGGCTTCGACTGGTGGTCCGCATGAAAATCTGCTGCTTCTTTCCTATAAAACAAGCAAACGACAATAGTTAGGAATTATATAAGAAAATAATTATTTTAGGTTACAGTATTAAAATAAAACAAAGGTGAAATTTTCTAAACATATAAATTAACTAATGATTTTTCACCAATTAGTCTGGCAAATGAACCTCCTTTTAAATATTTCAAAGTATGATTCATATCTATGTCAAAATACAAAATAAGAATAAAAATTAGAAGTGTTTACTTCTCTCCCTCTGGAACTGGGATTAACCCAAGGCCTTCCCACTGAGCTACATGTCCCACTTGTTCTTGTTTTGTTTTTTACACAATTTCACTAAGTCCAAACTTGTGAGTCACCTGCCGCAGTCTCTCAGAGTGGTGGACTACAGGCATGCACCAACATGTCCAGCTAAGCATTTATTTTTCTTTTACTTATCTTTTTATTAATATACATTTGTGATACCTAATTTGTGTAGCATCAGCTGACTTCCTTTTCCCCAGCATATTTAAAATTCTAGAAACAAAGTTTAACATTTGACCAACAAGAATATTTGGTAAAGTTCAAGCCTAACCCAAAATTTGTTATTTTCTTCTATATATTTTAACCTTGAGAGATTTTTTAAAATCTATTTTATTTCAAGGATTTAAAAAAGAAGGAAAAAAACCAAAAAAATTAAAGCACATCAATCAGGGGTAACAATGGTACATACGTTGTACATTGTATCCCCAAATTATTCACCCAGAGCACAAGCCATCTGCTTCAGTTGTCCAAATAATACCAGCACAAATCCTTCTCTTTGGTAAACTCAAGAGAAATCAGTAGTATAACTATCTTAACTATCTATCTATATAATATACATATACATACACACATACACATATACATGTTTTTTCTTTCACTTCTCACACTAATGAAACAGTATGTTTACATGTGTGTCTTATTTATTTCACTACTGAATACATTCTCCAGTTGCATCCATTTACCTATAAAAGTCTCCAGTTTATCCCTCTTTATAGCATAGTCCTCTATTGTATAAAAGAGACCATTTTTTTATTCATTCTTTGGCTGATGGGCATGTAGGGTCCTTCCAAGATCTGACTATTATGCACTGTGCTGCATAATACACATATAATGGGTACACATATATCACTGTGGTATATGATGTTTTTAATTCTTTTGGGAAGATACCCAGAAGGGGAATGGCTAGTCGAATGGGATCTCTCATCCTAGTTTTTGAGGAATCTCCACACTGATTTCCACAGTGGTTGACCAGTCGGCATTCCCACCAACAATGGAGAAGGATTCCTTTTTCCCCACCACCTCCTACCATTTGTTATTGCTTGATTTCTTGATAGTAGCCATTTTTTCTGAAGTAAGGTAGAATCTCAGCACTGTTTTAATTTGCATCTCTTGAATAACTAGTAATGTTGAGCATTTTTTGCATATTTATTTGCTGTTTTTATTTTTTCATCTGAGAAGTGTGTGTGTTCATCTCAGATGCCCATTTTTGGATCGGGTCTTTAAATCTAGTATCACTGATTTTTTTCTGAGTTTTTTGTATGTTCTCAATAGTAATTGTTTATCTAAGGAACAGCTGGCAAACATTTTCTCCGAGACAGTAGGTTGTCTTTTCCCTCTACTGGTGGTTTCTCTTTCTGTGCAAAAGCTCTTTAGTAGGATGAGATCTCAGTTGTTGATCCTTTGTGATAGTTCCTTTGTAATCTGGGTTTTGTTCACAAAGTCTTTGCCTACCTCAGTGTCTTCAAGAGTTTACCCACTCTGTCTTCCAGAAGACTGAATGTTTCAGTTTTAACAATACTACGATCTTTGACCCATTCTGATTTTAGCTTAGTACATGGTGAAAGATATGGGTCCAGTTTTAATCTTCAGCATGTGTAGAGCTAGTTTTTCCAGCACCATTTATTAAAGAGGCTATCATTCTTCCTGTGAATATATTTGGCACCTCTGTCAAAGATACGATGGCTCAGTGTGTCTGGAGTTGTTTCTATATCTTCTAATCTGTTCCAATGATCTTTGGATCTCTTTTTTTTGCCAGTACCACACTGTTTTTATCATAGGAGCTTTATACTATAATTTCAAGTCAGAGACTGTGATGTCCTCTGTTATGTCTTTGTTGCCCAGATTGTCTTTGCTATTCTAGATTTCTTCTGGTTCCAGATGAATTTTAAGATTGTCTTCATAACCTTGAGAGTTTAGACTACAATTTTAATTTAGTAGTTTTAGTTGCTTTGTTAACTACTGAATACTACATATGCTGTCTTAAAAGGTGCTTAACAAATTATGCATAGTAGAATGTATTCCTATTGGTTATTAATGACTTTAAAATAAGTGCTTTAAATGACATCAGTGAAAGAACATGGAGAAATTAAAATTTATATTTCCGTTAAAAGATATCTACAGAGACCAATAATAAGGATACGGCAATTTAAATGGATAAGCTGAAAAATAAAAATAACTTGTTTTCTCTTTTAAGCAAATCCAGTTTCTTAAAATTGTGTGGTTTTCTTAAAGGATTTAAACTGAGTTCACAGTATGTGACTAATATGTGCCAATAATAGTTAATTTTAAAATAAAAAATAGGTCTCTGTTAACAAAGGATCAATTTTTCAGGCTTAGGAATTAATTTGATATATGATGCTTTTAGAATCTTACTGGCCTGTTACAAAATAAATTCACATAACATGACATTCCTGAGTATACTCTGACTGTAACCACTGTACTCAAATATTTCCTTTTTCCAAAAGAGACTATGAAAGAGTACTTTGCCAATATAGAAAATAAAATGCATCCCAAGACATGGAGAGAGGAAAAAATCATTTTTCTAGAGCTTATTATATCTCATGATTAACTTATTGTATTTATTCCTCAAAATGGCATACTGAAATAGTTATCACTTTCATCTTTACATATGAGAAAAATTAGTTTCAATATGATTATATAACTTATTAGATAAGAGAGAGGCTGGACAAAATAGGAACATTTAAAGTCAAATCTCTCCAGTTGCTAGCCTGATTGCTTATGCATTATTACCAACCACAGGAAGAAAAAATCTGGATAAAACAGAAAAGAGTTCATGAAAGTAAGATATGTATATTTTATGCTATTGTCTAACATAGAGCAAAACTGAATGCCTAAAAGACTACCATGGAGAGTAAATTAGAAGAATTAACAGAATTGCATGAAAATAACCAACTCTAAACTTGTCAACACAAAAAGACTGAGCTACTAAAAAATCACAACAACTATAATAATGAATATAAATGGAAAGAAGTCTTAATACATTGGTAAAAGTATTTGCTTCTAACATGCCACTGATTCCGCAGTTACCTCCATTTCAAATCTAAACTTGAAACCAGAATGAGAGTTCAAGAAATTTTCCCCCATCACCCTTGGTTTCTTCCGTAAAAGGCTTCGAAGGAGACAGATTTTTATCTTTTTCTTATTTTAAAGAGAATAAAATCAACAAAACAAAATAGTAAAGCCAACAAAACAGAACAATGAAAGCAATACAGAACTTCAAAACAAGATAATAGGGAAATCAACAATGGCTACCATAATGTCTCTTGTTTTTCAAAATAGGTATCCATACCATCAGACACAATAAAATCACACGAACCTAAATAGAATAAAACCAATCAAAACAAAAGAATGAAAGTATATTTTAAAGAGAATAAAACCAAACAAACTAAAACAGAATAAAGCCAATCAAAACAAAACAGAGAAAGTGATACAAGACTTCAAAACCGGGTAATAAGAAATCAACAGTGGCTACCACAATGCCTCCTGCTAACAGGATAAGATTTTAACAAGTACATCATTACCTACAGGAGATTTCTGCTGGTGTTTTGTTGCGTATTATGAAGAAACTCACTATACTTTCACAAGGATCTACACGTAGTTATCTTAAGAAATACAGTTAGCACACACTTGTAATGCCAACACTCTGAGAGGCTGAGGAAAGAGGACCACAAATTCAAGCCCAGTCTGGGAAACTAACCAACTTAGGAACTTAGTGAGACACTTCCTCAAAATTAAAACAAAAAGGTTAGAAAGTGCTGGGAAGTTGCTTGGTACCAGGACACTGGGTTCAATAACTGATACAAAATAATAATAATTATATATACGTGCATACATGAATATATATACATATATGTATATAAATATATATCATGTTTTGTATATGTATGTATATATACTCAGGTCACTTAATGATGAAATCTATTCTGAGAAATACTGCTAGACAGCAATTTTATCATTTAAATGAACATCACAATGTATTTCTAAGAACCTACACAGTATAAGACAATCCCTTGACATGGCTTCATGACACAATCAAGAGACCTGTGTCTCTTACACACGTGTAAGACTACTGCCAGTGTAACAAAGCACAATGCTTTTTGGTAACTTTTTTTTAACAAATAGAGGGAGTACATTCTAAACTATTAAAAAGTATAATGGCTACATAAACCAGTAGTATAGTCATTTATTATCATTACCAAGTATTACACACTGTACTGTATACAACTGCTATACACCTGGAAGCTTTGTAGGTTAGTTTATATCACGGCTTTACCATAAACGTGGATAATGCTCTGTGCCATGACATTATGACAGCTCTGACATCACCCGGTGAAAAAGAGATTTTTCAGCTCCATTCAAACCTTATGAAACCAACAATAAATATACATCCATCACTGTCCTGGATCCACAGGTTGCTACTTGAAATCTGACGGCATTTATTTGGTGCTGCCCTTGTGCTGAGAACTAGAAATACAAATTCAGAGTGAACTCAGCTCCTGCCTTTTGAATACTATTATAATTGTAGGGAGCAGTTGAAGCTGGAGGTTGATCACACGTGTGGGGCTAAAGCAAGGCCAGCCCAGAAAAAATGGAAAGACCAAAACAAGCTATGTAAACAAGTTGTTTCAGCACCAAGAAGGCAAAGGGCCCAGGCCTGCCAAGCAATGGGTTGCTAGGCAGAGGGGCTGAAATTGACATCATCTTTCCCAGTATATAAATAAAGGTGCTACAGTGGTTCAGCAGTTCCTTTCTTCCCATCAGGAGGATAAGGGCCCCACCTCACCCCAGCTTTGTCTTTTCTTTATTTTTCTCATCCTCTCGTGGTCCTTAATCCCAAGAACCTCTGGAGCCACTTTGGGTCGCAGCACATGATTGCACACTTGAGTGTAATTTTGGAAGACTTTAAGCATTGGGAGAAACTCCTTTATGGGTCTCCAAAGCTCCTAACGTGTCTTACTAAGTAAATCAAGAATGCAAGGCCCTGACTTCACTATCTTATTCATTTCTCAGGACTGTCTACATTGAATAACTGAGGGATGGAAGTGGTCTCTCCTCATTACAAGGACAATCTTGTTTTCTGTTTTCTGATGACACAGTTTGTGATCCAAGTTCACACGTCTTCAGTTGTCATGCAGTACAGTGTGTACCTGGCATTCACCTGGGCCCAGATCACATCGTCCCTATAGACATGGAGGCAAGGGGAACCAATACAACTATGACATGCATATTGCTGGTTGAAGTTCTCTGCCTCCAACCCAGAAGACTTGGTGCCTGTTAATGTGCATGGAGGAGTGACAAATGAAGTGCCTTAGTAGCCTGTGAGCTTCATCTAAATTCATAGAAATGTGTAAGGTGCTATGAATAATTGAAGAAGTTTGTGTGGGAGTTAAGTCCCAATTAAACATTTGAGTTAGGTCTGAATCATGAATAGTAATGGACTAGAAAACAAAGTAGAGTAAAGCATCAAGGTAAAATAAAATTATGCATAAGAGAACACAGGAGAGATGAAATACTGCATATTCAGGAGGTTGAAACCCAAATGGCCTCTAGAGGAGGTGCCAAGAGGTGAGTCTATTAAGATAGGCAAGGGCAGATCACTAAGGTCTTAACTATTTCACCAAAGACCTAGTCTGCTTTTCCTGAAGATGGGGAACTGCTGAAAGGTTTAAAGAAGGGGACAGTGACATTTCATTTTATACGACTGATTCTTCTGTCAACATACAGAATATAATGAAGTAGCCTTAGGGAAGAAAATACCCAACAAGTGTCAGTAGAGAATATGAAGTCTACCAGTAGACAAGTCAATCAGCAGTCTATGTTGACATTTTGAGTACCCAAACAGGTCCACAAAAATGAGAACTGCAAGAAGGAAAAGTCTCAGAGGTGTACAGAAAAGGGAAGTAAAAAAGATTTGAGACAGATAGAGTAATGGTTGATATGTTGGGTCAACTTGAGCAAGACTCAGCAGGGAGCCAGGGTTCTTACTTTGTAAATATCCTCATCCTGTGCAAAAGCAGGCAAAGAGATTTTATGAGTGCTACATCTGCCCTGTGGAGTGGAAGATTGCCCTGCATATAGTATAAAGGAGGAGAAGAAGCTTGTTTTCCATCCTTTTGCTCTGGCTGCTGCCTTGAAGTACTACCTCAGTGCCATGCCACCCAGCCTTGGAGTCAGCTGATTACAGACCAAAACCTCCACAACAGTGAGCTAAATAAACCTTTCCTTCCTTCATTTTGGGTGTTAGGTGTTTTGACTCAGCAATGAGAGAAAAATAACCAAGATATATAGACAGATTATAGATAGGAGGAACAAGGAAGAGAAACATGAATCCAACATCACGTTCAGACTGATGGTTGTTGTAAAGAGAAACCAGGGCTGGGTATGTACTGGAATTTCATCTATATATAGGTGATGATGTGGCCACATATGGAAGTACCCAAAGAAAGTGTAAAGAAAAGAATGTGCAAAGAACTTGGAGGAATACTTACTTTAAGAAAAAAATATTATAGTATTATTAAAGTGACTGTAACAGTCATAGAAATGGGTAGGCAAACTGTCTACAAAGCAAGGAGTCCTGGATGATCACTTACAGAGACACTGAACATTCCTACTGACAGAAGAAGTCAGGGAGGAGAGAAAGATTAGGAGCCAAGTGCTCAAATACTTAATGAATGTAGAGTTTGTGACCTAAAGAGTGGAAACAAGGCTCAGTGGTTGGCAATATTAGGTAAATGGATAGACATTCCAAACATGAATGGTCATGTGAAAGAATGAGGATTGCAGAGGGGGCTAAAATATTGATGTTACAGTATGACTCTCAAAGATAAGGAACATTTATAAATAAGCAGCCTACACTAACAACTAAAAGAAAAGCGATGCCCTTGCAAAAGAATCAGATTTCAACTGAAATAAAGAAAGAAGAGAGCCTAGGGAACACTGTGAACAGAGAAATGTTTATTTACAATGACAAGACTTCCAGAAGCATCAGTAAAAAGAGTTTGATAATAGATTAGTGGTCAGACTAAGAGGAAAGGTGCACAAAACAAAGAGATGAATGTGTATGTGGACAATAAATATACAGGCTTTTATATTTGTGCAACTCCAAGGGTGAAGAATTTTACAAGAGCTGGATGGTTGTAAATTTTAAGGTGCTCTCAAGGCACTGATCTGTTGGGAGCCACTGAAACTGAAAATTGAACCCACGTGCAGGGCTGCTGCATGGCCAGGGCAAGATACAATAAGAGCTGAGAACACCTGGCTCCAACTCCAATTAACTAAATAAAGACTGTAGCTGCAAGCATTTCACTCCTGTAGTGAAATGCAACATGGAGATCTTCTCATAAGATAGTTCCCCTAGATTAGACATAGTTTGTTAATTTGCAAAGTTCTTGAAGCATTTCCAAGATCTTTTCAATTTCCAGTGATTTCCACTCTGACCCTCTATATAAATGCAGGCTACCCAGAGACATCCCCTGTGTTACCTACCAGAGTCCCAGAACTCTGCAGAGGGTTTTGATCCTCTAGGAGGCCTAAAGTCATATCACTTATCTCATTTATTTTAGGCCTTCACTGTGTACTTGTTTGGGAGATTGGAGATCTAGAACAGGTCCTCAATACTGATTGGTTCCAGCAGCTTCCTTTATGTGCTACAGATTCAATATGACAGACAAAAAAATCTCTATCATGGGAAGATGACACTAAGTTATCAACCACCAGAGGCACAGACTGTAAACTCATATAAACCTCATAACAATTTTAGGCTACAGGTACTATTATAACCTGCACTTTTCAGAAACAAGGACAGATGAGTTGTTTTAAGTCATGCCTAGGAAGTAGTACAGTTCCAGGTAAATGGCTGGAGGCTCTGCTCTGAAATGTAAGCCTCCTGTATCTCAAGACAGTATGGAAATGGAGATCTTACACAGGAGAAAATTTCAAATTAAGTATATGTCATTGTAGAGGTAAAGCTGAGGTTATTTTCTTAAAGTTTCTAGGATCAACCCTAGGAGTTAGGTTTACCTCTATTCATTGTCCCTGTTCTCACAGAAACACAAATGCAACTGACTTGTGAGGCAGACATCCATGAACAGATGATTTCAACACCAAACAAAACCTTGGAGGAGAAACAAGCATACTACCAGAGCTGGCTCAGTCTAAGTACAACATTCCTGTCCTTCCAGACTGTATGCTACTGGGTCACCCTCAGCCAACTTCAGTGTAATCCCAGAGAACAGAGGCCGCCACCCTACAGATGCTACATCTTTCTTCCTCATCTGGAATAGCTGAGTCATTGCTTTGTCTACTTGATAGGAAAATTTTTAAAAGCAAATAGCATGGAAGGATCATTTTTCCCTCCATAGGCTCTGGGGAAAGACTGAAAATAAGGTAGGCTCATTTCTCTATTCTTTATCTGAACACAGTGAATATTTTCCATGAAATTTCCAATTGTACCATGCGGTTCAATTTAGTTACTTTGTGATAAGAATGCTAAATAGGGATACGTCTTTTTTTTACTAAATAACTTCAAAAATATCTGATTAGATATCTGGACTGCTTTTCAGAGTACCAATTAGGCATATTTACCTATTCTATATATATTAAAGTGAGCTTAATATAAAGTTTCAAATGCAACACTTTTGAACACTTGAAGAAATAGAAATAATCTGAGATTCATTTTCTCTCTGACACTTTTTAAACAGTGTGTTATTCTTATATATTATATATTATATATTATATATTATATTAAGAAGAAGAAGTTACAACTACCAGCCATTGGGGTTATAAAAGTAATGAGACTATAGAAGAAAATAGTAAAGTGAGGCCTGTATAATCTGATGTTTCTGTTTAGACTTCAGTGATTCATATATGATTACATGTTTTTTTGCTTATTTTGATAAGATTACTATTCTATGCTAATAAATAAGAGGTTGTTTTATAAAAATGATGTGAAAGATGCCTTTTTAAAAAAGGAAACACATTTCATAACTGAAAATGATCAATCACTTACCTTGAAAGTGTCATCATTTTGAGTTTTGTTATAGTAAACCCAGCTTTGTTTACTATTTCAATTATTTCGCCAACTTTTGATACTGCATCTGGTTTAATCAAGGCTAATGTTCTGTAAAGAAATAATAAGTTTGAAAATGAAAATACGTCTATAGTTTTTATTTCTAATGTCCAGTAGTAGTGTCATTTTTAACAATCATTGCAGATCAATATCAAAATTAGATATACTGAGAAATGTATTAAAAATGTCTCTTAAAAATTTAAACAAAGTAAGATTACTGTTTTCCCAAAGAAATCAAAACTTAGGTACCTTAGGTTTAAAAAGTAAGATAAGGAAGGGAAAAGGAGGAGGAAAAAAAGGGAGAGAAGAAAAATGCTACATAAAAGTCCTAAAACTGTGGGCAGGGGATACAGCTCCACAGCACAAGTGCCTGGTTGGCAAGCACAAAGTTTTGAGTCCGATCCTTGGTACAAAAAAATCTGGAAACTATTATTTTAAACATACTAACGTTAGAAAATACATGCACTAGGGCTGGGGATTTAGCTCAGCGGCATAAGCGCCTGCCTTGCAAGCAGGCAGTCATGAGTTCGATCCCTGGTACCGATAAAAAAATGAAAAAGACAAAAAAAAAAAAAAAAAGGAAGAAAGAAAATACAAGCACTTAAAGATTTTTTTTTTTCTTCCCAGTATGTATTGAGAATTGGACCCAAGGTATTGTGCCTAAAAGTAAAAGGCTCCACCACTAAGCTACATCCTTTAGCCTCTTTTATTTTATTTTATTTTGAGACAGGGTCAAAAGTTACCCAGTCTAGTTGCAAACTTGAGGTCCTCCTGCCTCAGCCTCCTGAACAGCTAAGATAACAGGCATGCACCATCACACCCAGCTTGTTTCTATTTCCTATAAGATATTTTATACAAAACAGTAATCTCTGAAAGTTGCATTAAATATGTTAGGAACTTGGTTGCTGGTACTCCATGCAGTCATCACTGATTTGCAAATTACAAATTTTTCTGCTGTACAAGTGATGCAAAAGAAAATGGATGTAGTCTTTCTCAACAATGTAACAATCCACACAAATAGAGAACAGTGTGATAACTTTAAAATCATGCTAATCTCCAAGAAGATACATTAGAACAATGTATTTTCCCTGACCCCAGACCCCCAAGTGCCCTAGTTTAATGAGGAAGTTAGGCCTAAACAAGCAATGTGCAAAAGGTAGCAACTGGTGAGTAGCATCTTCAACACGGAACACCCAGCTCCTAAAATTCCCAAGTCTGTGCTCCTGCCACATCACAAACACTGTGACTATTAGTATTATTAAAAGGCTACTATCACCGAATCCACAGAAAGTAATATATATGCATGAAAGATAAAAACATGATTCAATTTATACAATAAAGAATTGCTGCCGTTTTCCCTTCTGACAGCACTGGCATTGTTCAAAGAATCTGTAACAGTTGGCCTTTTCATAGTGGTTTTTTTCACTAACAATAAGACAAACACAGCTGAGGATGAAATTTTTTTAGTATATTTAATATTATAATTATATAAATAATTGAATATTATACTTAAAATTGGACACAAGTTGTGACTTGGTTTTTAAACTCAAAATAACAGAAATTATTAATCTCAAAACCACTTATTACAGACTATACTACATAACCCTTTTCTTTAGTTTGAAATAAGTCACTTATATACTTTATATTATATGGCTTTGTCAAAAAATTAAGTCTTTGCTTTTTAGTTTACATTACTTAATTATAAGCCAAACTAACCTATAAATTGTTTATGCTAAGCTCTGCAAGAGGATTTCACAAACCATAACTGATAAAAAATATATAAAACATGGCAGTGGGTCTGGGGATACCTCAGTGAAAGAGCATTTGCCTCGCATGCACAAGGTCCTGGCTTCAATCTCCAGCATCAATCATCCAATCAATAAAAATAAAAAGACATCACCAGAAAACCAGAGCAGCAGCCATCGATTTCTATAAATAAGAAGCAATATGAAAACTCTAAAGCTGAATAGGTATAGAGCTTAGTGGTAGAACACTTGCCTAGCACGCAGAAGGTCCCAAAACATTAATGGTCCTAAGATGAGATACAGGTTTCATCTCAGCACTGTTAAAACAGAGCCTAAAACTGACAGACGTTAGTTTAAACTGTAACTTCATTTTCTATTAAATTCCTACAGAACTGATTCAAGGATTACACGATTGATTAAATAAATTCCTCTGTCATGTCTCTATGCTTACTTGTTCAGTAGGTAATAATTAAAATGCATGTTGGAAGGAAAATACGACAGGTATTAAGAGTCATGTGTGATTTAAAATTACAGATGACATGTAAAAAAAACAAGAAGTTCACATGAGTACATTAAACGTCTCGGTTACGTGTTGCTGCAAAACAAACCCAAACAATATGTTGGCGCTTCAAACAACAAATCGCTCCTCCCTGGGATGTGGTGACCTCCCCGGGACCATTCATGCAGCTACATTCAGCTAGTTGGCCAGCAGGGGGCAGCACTGAGCTAACAGACCAAGGCTTCTACTACAGGGGTCTTTCTATCCATGAAGAGGTCAGATTAGGTTTCTTTACACACAGCCACAGAACAGCCCATGCACAAGCACTTACCAAGCTTTCCCTTGAACTATAGCCAATGAAAGCCCAAGCCCAGGTCTCCCTGTGAGAGCACTAGACAACGATACAAATGCCAGGAAGTTTGATTTACTTTTATAGTTAACAATCTACACATAGGCATCCTCCCATTGCACTTAGCAAACACTGGACAATGCAGCACGGGATACTCTTAACCAATATTTTTACATACAAACTTCTTAGCAATGGATGCAAAAAGACAGTCAGGCTAGCCTTCATAAACTCAGAAGGGATACAGGTTTCTAGAAAATAACAATTCTCATACAGCCATGAAAAAAAAAATATGTTTTTCTTACCAGTAGGTTCTGACCAAAATCTGTAGCAAACATGTTGATAAGAAAGATAACTAGCTGCCTGCTGTATATTAAATATCCTACGCGGTCCAGTGCTAATGTCATACAATAAATGTCCTAATGCAGTGCAGTGGCTATTTGCATTTGATAGACCTAAAAGAATACTAAACCATATTAATTTATGAAATATTTCAAAAGGCATTTACTTTTCCCTTACATAAAGATTCATTTATATTAAATTCCAACAGTATTGATTCATTCTGAAATCAACTAAATGTTAAATTTGTGATTTTATGTTTTCTTTGCAAACATGAAGTGTGTGCTTATCTCATGGATATAGGAAAACAGCCTTATGTCAAGTCACTTGAGGCTCAGCAGATGACACACTGAGTTGACTTTTTTGGTATTTTTGAGATAGGATCTTGTTATGCATTTCAGGGTGGCTTTGAGCCCACTTTGTAGCCCAGGCTGGTCTATAATTCGCAACGATCATTCTGCCTCAGCCTCCCACATGCTGGGATTACCGGCATGTGCCACCATATCTAGCTAAGGATTTTGTTTAGCAACAATGGAAATTTTATTCCGAGCAATTCTTCCGCTAAATACTAAAAGATGTAAAAATTTATTAAAATCTGTTTTTTAAAGAAAAGGTAGGCACACAGCAGGGGTACCAAACACAGCAGGCCCAGACATGGGTGCCCATGCCAGTAGGTGGAACCAGCAGTGTGGAACAGCCTGAAGCAGCAGTGAGAATGTGAGCCAGTAGCTATTAGGTTAGGCGAGCCACCATTTTGCCCCGGCACACAGACATGTGGAACAGACGGGGTGGGAGCTGCTACCATTCTATATCAAAGGGCCTTGGGAGAACTCAATCAACAAAACACAACATTGGAAAGAAATTGGAAAGAAATGGAATCCATAAAACAGGTCCAAACAGAAATTCAGTAGATTAAAATCTCCATTAAAAGTATATGCAACAGATTGAACAAAGGTGAGGACACTGTCAGATCTAGAAGACAGGATTGCAGCTAGTGACCATGAAAAGAAAGATACTTTTAAAAAAAGCAAGAGATCATGAAAAATCAATCCAACAGCTGCAAGATGAAGCAAAGAAAAAAAACCATAAATTGACTGGAGTCAATGAGAAAGCTGAAGACAATGAAAATGCCATTTTAAAAAACCTCTTCACAGGAATAATGGAAGAAAACTTCCCAAACATAAAGAATTTCACATACAAATAAATAAAGCATACAGAACACCAAACAGTCATAATCAAATCTACACCAAGCATATAATAATCAAGATTCCAGAAATTGAGCACAAGAACAGAATACTGAAAACAGGGAAATGAAATAAATCACCTATAAAGGAAAGCCTTTAGGAATCACAGCAGACTTCTCAACACAAACCGTCAAAACAAAGAGAGCTTGGAGTTAGGTATTTCAACCCCTATAAGAAAACAACCTCCAACCCACATTGATGCATCCCACAAAACTCTCAAAATGAACAGAGAAATAAGATACTTCCATTCAGTTGTTTCAAAGAACAGCTGAAGAAATTCATGATCACCAAAGCAGCTCTTCACAATTGCTCTGAAGAACGTAACAGAAAGAGAAAACAAAGACCACAAACACAACACCAATAGAAAGAAGCTACCAGGCAGGATAAATAACTCAACAGAGGGGAAAGACAGAGAGCCAACAACAGGAAAATAATATGAGAAATGCATATCTATTATAACCATCAATGTAAATGGTCTGAATTTACCAATCAAAAGAAACAGACTAGCAGAGTGGATCAAGAAGCACCACTAAACAATATGCTGCATTCAGGAAACACATTTAACTAAAAAAGAAATTCATAGACTGAAAGTTAAAGGATGGAGCACAATATTCCATGTGGCAAGATCCCAGAAATAAGCAGGGGTAGCTATTCTATTTGCAGACAATGTGAACTTCAAACCAAGACTGATCAAAAGAGACAAGGAAGGTCACTACATGTGAAACTGTTAAGGGCAGTTTCCTAGAAAAAGAGATACTAATCATAAATATATATGCACCAAATACCACGGCATCCAACTGCATAAGACAAATATTAATGGACATGAAAATCAAATAAGCACTAACACAACTGTAATAGGAGAACTTAATATCCCACTG